GTGCCTGGAACACAGCTAAGCCCCATCTTGTAAAACCGTATTCTACCATCTTCTGCATGCCCTCACACATACCAGTTTACTGTCTCCAAGCCTCCCAGTGGACCTGGTCCTATAACACAGCCACAGGTGCCACCACTGTGTTGGTGTATGGACATGCAGAAGCACTGATGGTCCCCCGACAAAGTCTGTTGACAACCAACTACTCTCCACAGCCCCATGGTGGGAATCAGCCTGAGACAACTGCATAATGCTTCTTGCTATCTGTGTGGCACAGAAACCACAGCATGGATTTATGCCACCTCCCTGAAGTGCCTGGGATCAGAGCAGTGATGGAAAAGGTTCAGCAGCAGGATCTTCCTGACCATGAATAGGCTGTGTGGCCTTTGGAGGTGTCCCTCTGCTGCTCCCAGCAGAGCAGCTCAGGGGTGACTGAGCTTCTGAGTGTTTCAATTTAAGCCCCCAAAGCAAGAGGGGAGGAGCTGCTGCCCATGTTACACCTCACAGCTCTGACAAGGAGCATCCAAACCCAGCTGTGCCCAGCAGGTGGGGATGCAAACCCAAAATCCCATCTCCACATCCCTCTGCACTCGGTGCTCTGATCTGGTTGACAAGGTGGGGATGGGTCACAGGTTGGACTCAGTCTTGGCAGTCTTTTCCAGCCCAAATGATTGTGTGATTGTGATTGTTCAAAACTCATTTACGAACTCTTTCACATCTCCCGTCACACCTTAGCAGGTGTGTAGGCCCAGACTCATACACTTGAGAGATTTACCACCTCAAGTGGGACCTACACCACAATTTTAGGAAGAGGCAAGACTTCAACTACTGAACAGAGAGCATCCTCTGTAAAGACATCCTGCAGGAAGGTGTCTCCCCCTCTTTTGACCACAGAGGGAGCTGAGTCTCCAGTGTTAACCTCTAAAAAAGAAAACAGAAAGCGCTCAAGCTCCAAATCCGACTCCCAGAAATTCTATTGGCCCCACTTCCCAGCACAGTACCAAGTCCTCCCACGCAGAGGAAAAAGGCAATGTAGATTAAATAATTAATGCTGCTGGATACTGTTTTCCCCTAAACTACAGATGATCACAGAGGAAAAAAACAAACCCTAAAGATGATTGATTGCTCTTGCTGGCACAATAAGAGAAGGAGAAATCAGACAGGACTGTCCTCCATCATTCTGCAGAGGCTGTGTCAAACACTCTACCTCCTGCGTTTCGATGAATAATAAATTGCTTTTAAGAAGTAACTTTTATGTCAGTGAGCATGTTATTATTGATTAATCTCATGCTGGAAAACACTCTTCAACCGCTGCTGCTCTTTGCATCGCCCGAAGAGTTTAGAGGCTGCTGCCTAACAAGCTCTTGAGTCATATCTTCCTTGTCAATCTTATCAACCCCTTGTTTAATTGTAAAAATGTTAATAAAATGCAGCAAGCATTGGCCTAATGCCTCAGGACTCACATATCTCTTCCAAAGAGAGAAACAAGAGATTCTTCAGCTGTGCTTGAGGCTTGTAAAATTCCAATTCTAAGCAAGTGCTGGTTCTCTCAGAGCCACAACCAGTGGTTTGATGGATAACAAGACACACATGTCAGAGTCAGGAAAGCCTCCATGATTCCCTTATATCTGAGGAATATCAATTTTAATACCAGATAAAGAGCAAGACCCCCTGGGACCACTCATGACTTTGTTCTCTATCCTCACTATGAGAGACAGTGATGCTCTTGGTGGCAGCACAGATTAGGAGCAACTGGAAAATGATCCCAGCATTGGCTTTTCTGGCCATTTTTGGTGTTTGTTCATGAAGCCTGTCCCCATTTCCAGCTGGCTTTGATCACGCTGGTAAGTGCAATATCTTGCTTTCAACATCAGGATGCTCAGCAAAGTAACAGGACAGCCAACACAGAGGGGAGCCTCTGAGCCAGAGAGGGGATGAGAGCCGGGTACAAGCTTGGGAATTGCCGGGAGGGTTTTTGAAATGAGTGCAGGGGAAAGGGACGTCTAAGAACAAGTCCCTTAGGAGAGGGAAGTGGAGAGGCTGAGTTTTGAGGCCAGCACTAGGGAGTGCAGGGCAGAGTGGAGAATATGCCCACTTAAGATTCTTTTGTGTCCACCTTTGCAGTTCTGGCAGGCACTTCTTGTCACGGCCTGTGGAGGAACAAGGATCAGAACGGGAACGGTTTCAGGAATGGAAAAAGATACACAGCAACTGAAAGGACTTTATGATACAGACTTCACAGTTCTTATGTGTTTATGAATATATCGACTTTGCATGATACTTAGTCCACAGTTTTTGGCACTGGTGTCCTAAATGATGTCGCCTAAGTGATGTCATCACCCTGTGATGACACTGATGTCCCCAGGAGTGGCACCCGTGTCCTCAGTGACGTCACTGCTGTCCCTGTGATGATTTTGGAATATAAATACAGTGATACCTGAAAGACCTCCCCCCTTCACAAGCAATCCACAATTATGTCATGATTTGGGGGGGGCTCAAAGAGCATCTTGGATTTTATTTGTGGAGCAAGGCTGCCATCTAGTGTCCGTTTCTTCTGGGAGGGGCAGTCATTTTTGCAGACTGCTCTTCTCGCTTGACAGGCATCCCAGAATCTCTGATGGATCCATCTGAGCTCTAACCACTTAACTAAATGTCCTAGGACTAGCTAAGACACATCTATTCATCGTTGGTTAAAGATAACTAGGACTTCCCATTAGCTTAAACAATATTTAAATGAATTTATTCTTAACAGAATAATCTCTTATTGAACAAGTTTTCTGAGGCATGTAAGCTAATTTCTTGAAGGTGGGCATATGATACACTCTCTATTAGTTTCCATGTATCATCTACCTTCTACATCCTGAAACTAATTGTAGTCTTAAAAGAAAAGACCACTACTGTGCCAAGAAAGCAAATCCTTTTGTTGATTAGGATATAATTTTTATCTAAGCTAAAACTTCTGATTTATTGAGTCACTTAGAAGAGACCCGTTCCAATTTCAGTGCCTTTGTGACAATACGGGGTCTCATGTAACCAATGGAACACTGAACACTGCAGATTCCCAAGGAATCAAGGGGCTATTGTGACACTCTGGGGCCTCATGGAAGAGGGAGGACATGCAGAGAGACCTCAAATGAGAGGTTTGGGCAGTCATCAACCAGAGGAAGTTCAACAAGGGGGAGAGCTGGATTCTGTCCCTGGGATGGGGCAACCCCAGATGTATGGACAGACTGGAATGACATGCTGCATAGCAGTGCTGGAAAATGGCCTCTGGGGTGCTGGTGGATGGCCAGCTGGCCAAGAGTCAGTGGTGCCCTGACAGGGGCTCACTGCTCGGTCACAGGAGGGTTTTCAGGCACACGAGTCCTTCCCTTGCACACAGACACAGACAGTTCATGGCAGCAGGGGCAGTATCTCCTGGGGCTCCTGCTGCCACATCCAGAGCCTGGATGCACCTCAGCCCTGTGGGGTGCCACCTGCTCTGCCACTATCTGAGATGCCCCACGGCCTGAGGGACGGACACGGGGAGCTCTGCCCACAGAAGCACATCCCAGAGCTGCATCCAGGGCTTTGCCAGGGTTTAGTGCTGTAAATGCAAAGTGACACTGAGACACTCCTTGTCCCACATAACTTCAAGGCTCCCCCAGGAGGCTGATGGCATTTGTGCTTGCCCAGGGTCATCTCCCCACACCAACACCAGAGATGTGCTCAAGGCTTGTCTGTGCAATATAAAGAGAGTCATCCTGTCTAGTCCCTCCATGTCTCTCCCAGGAAGGATAAAGAACCTCTGTGGGCTGGGTGAGAAGCCAGTGCTGGAAGTAGCGGTTCTATTGTGAGTGCCAACCAAGAGTGGTTGTCAGGTGTGATGAATGCCCTGGGGAGCTGACCTGGGTTTCCAGTGCACATGGCAACAGATCACACCCTGCCCTGGTGGTCCTTCATGTCTCTCCCAGGAGCCTGGAAGTGCACAGGCACTGCTGAGTTCTTTCACCTAACACAGTGCCACTCTTGAGAGGTTCACTGGTGTTTTTCTCCTGAATATGCTCTTGAGAGGACTTACCAGAAGACCTAAACCTTCAGGCACTACCCTGAGGAGATCCCTTGGTAGGATGGACATGCTGTTGCAGAGGGCAGCTGTGCCACAGAAGTGCAATTCCCTGTCCCTGCCTGCAGGCCAGAGGGCTGACACCCTGCAGCCCTTAGACTGAACTTCCAGAGCACTCGGGTCTTACAAGGACAGCTCTGGAAAAACCAAATGCTGACGCTCCCTGGCAGTGCTGCTGTGCTGGGGCTCTTTTCCCTCCACCTCTGCACACAGATATTGCAACTGCAGCTCCAGAGGAGGTTTTAAAAGTGGGATACAAAACTTGCTGAAAAAGAGAGAACAGCTCCTCATTTGCACAGTCTGTGGGACACAGGATGGATATGAACTAAAAATGGCACAAATAACGATATTTCTTTGGGGCAGTATTAAATAAATTTAAAAAAGAAAAAGAAAGTAAAAGCTCACAGTGATTCAAAGTACAACCCTGAAAATCTGCACGTGGGAAACGAAAATTAAACAAAACACCCAAATACTATACAGACATCAAACACAAGAAGCCCAAATTCCTCCAGGTGGTTGGATTCTGTGCCGGAGATCTTGTCTGGGAGATTTCACAGAAGAACCTGTCCAGGGCATTTCCTTGGCAGAAAGAGATGGAAAATGTACTTGCAGTGTGCAGAGCTGCATGAATTGACACACTAGCCTGTGGGCACAAGCTCTGCTGCCCTGTGGGCAAAAGCTCTGCTGCCCAGGAGGGTCCCATAGTGCAGGACTTTGCAGATGGCAACTCAGTGGTCGTAGGACATGATGGTGAGACAGAAATACTCTGCTGAGATAAAAAAACAAAGGTGGGTAGAGCCCTTTCCAGTCATGATATTTCTTGTGCCTGTTACTGAAATGTAGAGCATTTGTCTTCACTACCAATACCACGGAGGGAATAAAACACAGCATCACTAACTCAGATTTCAGCTTTTATTTACAGATTTTAGATGGTAACATTGTAGAGTATTCTTTCTTTTATAAAAAAATATCTTATAAAAGCTGGCTGTTATCTACCATTACTGGAGGGCTGTGCTGATGTCAGTGAGTATCAGTACTCATAGCTTGATTAACTGATTTCTGTTCCAGTTCAGCTTATACCTGCAGTGATTATTTCAGTCAGTTCTGAGAGACAATGACTCCTCTCTTACCTGATCACCTTTCCACTGGACCCTTTCATGGGCTTTTAGGGCTTTCAAATTTCAGTGCTAACACTGACTGCAGCATTAACGTAACAGGACGGAGACATGACAACCAAAAGGGATTAAATATAAAATACTTAACCATTTTACTCTTCTGGTTTTTTCAGCTTTAATTTTGCCTTGGTACCCAAGGAAGTTCTGGCTGTCCCAGCTTGCTTTGCAGTCTCAGCAGGTTTCTTTTTTAGCCTTTTCTTTTTGGAACGCACCAGGTCTTCGCGTCCCAGTTCGACCATTTTTGCTTCCCACGACTTCATTTCGTTCTCGTACCGAACCTTATCATCTTCAGCAAGCTGCAGGTATTGCTGGGGGAAAAGAAGGTGACAGAAGGGGCTTTGTCTGGAAAAGTGCCATGACACAAAGGTGACTTAGAACAACACCTGGGCACTGGCACAGCCCAAGTATTTGCGTTCGCCTCCGGATAATTAAAAAAAAATAAAAAATCAAACTTGCAGAAAAATACAAAACTTTAGCACTAAATTACGGTTATGTCAAGAGCTGCCCACTACTGAAGTGGAAGTTTATTCAATATTGCTACTAACAGCTAAGGCTTTTTGTCTGAGCACTAGTTTGAGAGAGGTGGATTGTGTGATGAACAGGAACAGATATCGCTGCAGAATTATTCCAATTTTTTTCCTACAGTAAGATCATGAACCTAGGGTGTGTCCTAAGCACACTCAAAACTGATCTGGACAAAGGTCATTTGGGAGGAAGAACAGTAAGGTACAGAATACCTAAACTGTGACATTTTCAGATTAGATTTCAGTGTAGCAGCTCTCACTTTTCACATGGCCATGTGCAGATTTGTATTTCAGTATACTGAGAAAGCTGGCAGAGAATTATCCCCCAGACAACCAAAGTTAATAAATTACCCTATGGACATCATTTGTAGATTTGTTGCTTTTCCCTGTCAAAAGTCTTTCTATGAGCAGCAAATTATTATGATAATGTTTAAAGATATCACGTATTGTTAGAAAAAAATCAAATTGTTGCACATTATTTCACCTTTCCCTCTAGATGCTGCTCAGCATCCACTACCAGGCACACTGAACTTCCATCCTATCCCACTGGCTTACATTTCAACAACACTGTGAATAAAATGGTCACTACTGCAATAAAGGTAACAATCTTTTTCGAGTTGCATGAAGATCTCACAGTATTTTCCTCAGTATTATATTTTGAGCAACTTAAGTTCAAGATTTTGTATGAATATATCAACTTTGACTCAAGTTTGTCATTTTCTGATCACATCAGAGCCTCATCCAAATCCACTGACATACCTGCTTTTGAGAAGTGGAGAGTTTTTGCCATGCATCAAATAATTTCTTCAGCTTTGCCTACAGGATATAGAACATGCAACACAGGAGGGTTATTTTAGGAACAGACTGATCTCAGAGGGGTACAGATGAATGCCACACAAGTGAAAGTCAAACATAAACCAATGCAAAAAAGCACAAAGTCACGCAGGTTTAATCCCCCACCCTTTTAATGTAGGCAAATAATACACTACATGGTTCAGAACAAGCTGCTGGGCATCATCTGAGCCATGTTTACAGCCCAGGCCTCAGCTGAGTGGAGAAGCCTGCCTTGTACATGGAAAACCAAGGAACCAACTAGATCCACCATCCCAATGTACTGATTAAATGTGTAGGGTAAGGAACATATCAGACACACAGGGGAGGTCTCCAACACTGCTGTAACCCACCAGTGTAGTTTACATCACCCCAAAGTGCAGTTTAGTGCAGAACTTGTGAGTCTGCTGAGGAACTCTGGCATATTCTGTAACACCACCCGAGCTAGAGGAGGTACAATGAACTCGTACTGCAGGAACAGGAGCAGACCACCACAAGTCTTTGAAAAACTTATGTATTTCTACACCAAAACAGAGAGAAGAATAATTCTCTCCTTACAGAGGGAACAGATGAAGTCTGTAAAACTGAAGTGCAAAAAACACTGCAAATATTTTAAGTCTGTGTACCCACACAGCAGTTTATAAAGGCCATGCCAGCAGCAGTATACAGGCAGATCACTGCAGCCCAAAAAAGGTAACCTAAGCAAAGCAACGTGCAGATATTGAACTACTGAACAATTTCTTTGAAAATGACAGAATCTAAATCAGATTTTTCTGAACACAGTGGATCTGTTTTAAAAAGCAATCTTTCCTGGCTTACCGCAGGTGAAATTCCCTCACTCTCTTGAAATTTTTCTGCCACAAAAATGTTAAGGCCACTACGAGGTCTTTTGGGTTTTCCAAGCGCAGTCAATTCCTTTAAAAAGAACAAGAAAAGTTATTCCATCTACCAGGCATGCATTTTTTCCAAAACTAAGCTTTCCGTCTGACTTCGTATTTTACACAAAAATCAAACACAAATTCTTTCTCTGGTGTTTTATTCTGTAAACTGGACTGTATGTCATGATGCTCTCTGTGCTTGTCGAGACTAATGCTAAACTAAACTAAGAAAAGCTAACAACTTGAGTTTTCACAGATATAGAAAAAGCATTTTAAGCTGATTCTTACTTCAGCTAAGTCTTCCAGAAACCAAAGACTGTTATTAAATTCCTCTGTAAGAAAATCATGATGACAGGTTTTCTATTATTCCTCATAAGGCTCCTGTTTTTGCTGTGAAATACAGCCTGCTTGCAGAGAGGAGGGCAGGTGGTGGACTGTGGGAGGTGAGAGGGTGGAACAGAACCAATTTCCAGGGAAACAGAACTGGGTTTCTGCTATCAGAACACTTTGCCTGCAGGGATGATGGCACGAGAAGGAAAGTACAGCAAGTTATGAATGCAATTAAACTTCTTGTTTCCTCCAGTCCTGACATTCCCACTGGAGCCTGGGTGCTGCAAATTAACATCTGCCTAGGCATTAAATATGCTAGCTAAATTCCTTGTGCTGCCACACTCTAAAAAAAAGGACCAACACAATCATTTGGATTAAAAACTTCCTCTAAGTAGAGGTCTTTTAAACCAAATTAATTTCACTTTTGCTAGTTAGGGCAATGTCACACCAGCAGTTTAATTCACAGAGATGAGCAAGCAATAGGTGATTTTGCTACTGGACCAACCACAATGTCATACCTTTATAGATGGTTCTGTCTCTCAGGATTTATACATAAACCAGCTAGAAGGGAATAGGGAAGATGGTCCACTTGAATATGCTAGAAAAGGATACCAGCAAACAGATGCACCTCTGCAGCCCTAATTCACCATGGCAGCAGTGACACAGATAGCAAAGCCACAGAGTCCAAAGAAAGGAAGGAAAAAAGGCTACTTCAAAGAGCTGCTACCTGGTAGGGGTCAGTGAGGTAAGAGATACAAGGCCTTTGTGAAAAGCTATTTCTGGATGTCTTTCCATCCAAAGAAAGTGTTGCTGGTCCAACTGTCTTTTATTACCTATCCTTTCTCTGGCAGCTCAAGGAATAGGGAGAAAAAAAGCACAGAGAAGCCACCTTTAAGCATAAAGATACGTGCCAGTTCTGTGTTCTTCAAGTGCAGGAATGCCACAACATCAGCAATTATATTTAGTCCATGGCATTTTGGGTTTTTTGTGTTTCTTGTGTGTTTTCTGTTATTCTGAGTTGGTTCTGTATTTCTAAAAACACGCTTCAACTCTGCTCTATATACTGGACAGACTTCAGCTTCCTTGAGAGAAAAGAAACTTGAATTTCAAAATGCTTACTCTTTTTGCCCGGAGTGATCTTCTCCTTGCCAGTTGTTTCCTCCTTTCCTCTTTCAGAGCTGCAGCCTGGGCTGGAGTTAGCTGGGCTTTGTATTTGGCCAGCTGCTCTCCATATCTTTGCCAATCTGTCTTTTTTGCTTCCTCGTAAACCTACAGCACAAACCATCACCAGCCTTAAACAGATGCTTTCAGTCCGAGCCACCTGACCATCAGACAAGCTAACACTTCTGATCTATGGGGGAAAAAATTAAGACTGGAAAAAATTACCCTGGAACATCAGATTTTCATCTGTTTGACTACCCCCTGTTATCCATTTCAGACACAAAAAAGGAAAAGCACACAGAGTGAGCAGTCCAAAAGGGATACGAGAGCACCTCGGTTCTACTGAAAAAAGGATACTACTTTAGCTGGAAAACTGCAATTAGTGACTAGCTGCATTTAATTGCTAACTGTAATCAAGGAAGAACAATCAAGGAAGAACGACCACTACTTTCCTACCAGTGGCACTTAAATTCAGCACTGATTAGCAAGTCCTAGAGTTATTTTACATTATCACATGGACCAGCCACTCTTAGAGAAACTTCACTACTTATGACTAAAAGTTAATTTGATGGCTCTTCAATAAATTTACACGTAGCAAAAGAGAGAGTTGGTCCTTCCATCAAAGTTAACTGAGGTTTCACTTACACACATGAAAGCAGAGTAACTTTACAAAACTTATGTTATTATACACCTAATGCACGGTGTACATAATTACCATTTAAAAAGGAAAAACAACCGGTTCCCAGCCCCACAGCCACATGGAGTGAGAGCTGTGCCCTTTCTCTGGCAACAGACTAAAATTATGAAAACCCAGGTCGTGCACAAGTATCAAAGTATCTCCCTGTACTGGGTTTGCATGGCCAGGTGTTGGTAGTGAGGGGTACAGGGCTGGCTCCTGTGAGAAGCTGCTGTGTCCATGGAGCCAATGCCAGCCAGCTTCAAGAGGCACCCACAGCTGGCCAAGGCTGAGCCCACCAGTGACAGTGGTGGTGCCTCTGGGATAAGAGCATTAAGAAGGGGAAAAAGAAAACTGCACAACTTCAGCCTGAGAGAGGAGTCAGATGTGAGAGTGTGAGATTATTTCTACAGAGCAGTGGAGAAGGAGGGGAGGAGGTGCTCCAGGTCATGGAGAAGGTTCCCCTGCGGCCTGTGGTGTGGCCTGTGGTGCAGCCCACGGTGAGGAAGCTGTGCCCCTGCAGCCATGGAGGTCCACAGGGAGCAGAGACCCACCTGCAGCCCAGGGAGGAATCCCACACTGGAGCAGGGGGATGCCTGAAGGGGGCTGGGACTCCAGGGGGTCCCACTGGAACAGCCTATTCATGAGGGACTGCACCCCATGGAAAGGGACCAGTGCTGGAGCAGTTCCTGAAGAACTGCAGCGAGTGGGAAAGACTCACACTGGGAGCAGTTCATGGAGGACTGTTTCCTGTAGGAGGGCCCCAGCAGGGGCAGAGTGGGAAGAGTTCTCCCTCTGAGCAGGAAGGAGCAGCAGAGACAAGATGTGATGGGCAGACCTTAGGCCCCATTCCCCACCCCCCTGTGCCACTGGAACTAGAGAAACAGAGAATGAAACTGAGTCTGGGAAGAACAGGAGGTGCAGGGAAGGTGTTTTAAGTTTTTATTTCTCATCAACCTACTCTGATTTGATTGGTAATAAACTGATTTCCCCAGGTGGAGTTTGTTTTGCCCTGACAGTAACTGGTGAGGGTATATTTTCTGTCCTCTGCCCAGCTGAGAGTGGCTTTGCTGGGCACTCAGTGTCCAGACAGGTTCAACCCACCCCACTGTGGTGTACTGATGTCTGAACCTTTGTACACACACACACATGCTTTTAAAACTGTTGATTAAAAACAAACCAACCAATCAAAAAAAATCACCACACTAAACAAAAAAATCCACAGGGGACACCAAACCAAAGAAAAGAACCACCAAGACTGTACAGAGTTCAAAGAACTCAGGGCAAAGATACACTCTTACCTGCTTCTGTGATGCTGGTAACTCCCTCCAAGCACCTGCTAATTTTTTAGCCAGCTCTATGCTGCTCGCTTCTGTACATTAAAACGAGAGAGCAGGAAAATAAAGATCAACATTGTATCTCTAGTGAGGTTCTTCAGTTTTCCCAAGGAAAGCTGTCACAAGTATCTTTTCCCTGTACAAACATTTTCATCCTTCCATAAAACTACCTTCCTGTGGCAGTTAAAGGGAACTGTAGTATTCTGGGGAGGGGAAAGAGTCACTGCTCTTAGTTCAACCTGGAATGAAACATGCAGTTATAAGACAAAGCACAATTTTAAGGCAGCCATTATCACTCCACAACAATTCAATTTTTTTTTTCCTTTTGAGATGGATCTTTTTCTATACAGTGCAAGATGGTCTGAATTTGGAGGGAAGAAATCAAAAGTAGAATTTCCAGTTCTCCTTTTTTAGCAAAGAGAGTCTGCTGAATTCTTCAAAGCAAGTATAATGTGACTTTATCCACCTGATATAGCACATATGTCCTTCTCCTGTTTTACAGTGATCCTTCTGGGTCCCTTCCAACTCAGCACATTCTGTGATTCTGTAATCTTTATTAAAGTCCTTCATTTACAATATTATTCAAAAGAAGTAAGGTTAAAAAAAAAGGTAATTTCCTTCTCCCACAAACAAAATTGGTGACTTGAGTCTACTTTGTTTTTCAGCTGACTGCCTTTGACTCTGGCTCTTGTACCATGGTCATTTGATGAGGCCTTCAGCCAGACTTGGATTTGTGAAGGGGAAAAGAATAATAATTACAAAACAAAACCAAACCAACCAACCAACCAAACCTCAACCAAACTTAAGGGTGGTGCAAAAATCATAAAAGGTGGTCTTTTCTTGAAAAATCCTTTACAGGCTTTTCCTCCACAATTAAGAAACCAAAAACAGATGAGCTTTTCTTCCACCTCAAATGTAAAGCTCAGCCACCTCAATGGTGGGAAAGCAGAACTAAGCTCTTCTCAGTAACCTGACTTCCAGAATTCTGGAAAAAGAAGACAGATGGAGAGGTTTTAGTCCAAGTAGATGAACCTTAAAACCTTTGAAAATATGATGCTTTGGCCAATGATAAAAGAGAACCAATAAATTATCAAGTTTTTTTGACTATTACCTCTACTGGAGCAAGAAAACCAAAATTTCTCAATTTGTATATAAGATCCAGTATATTTATTGGCAGATTACTCAAATTTTGAAAACGTGGAAAACACTGGTGTAGTATGTAACTACAATAAGCTCTGATAGTTCAGTTCCCAGCCTTTCTGACTGTGGAACTGCTGAATTGGTATCAAATGGTTTTCCCTACTTAAATTTACCTCAGGGCTTGCCCAATATGACCACAGTTTTTTAACCATTTTAACCTTCATTGCAACAGTACTTCAAAACCAGCACAGCTTTCCATTTTGCTGCTTTCTGGTAAGAGTGTCTGCATTGCCTGTAAATAAAGTTTTTTGATAGTAAATTAAACGTATTCACAGAAAACCATTTTCCTCTACGTACATTTACTTCTTCTTCCACTTACAGTCAAGACAAGCCAGCACCTATAGTTTTTCAATTACTAAATATCAAAACAAAATCATATGCACCTTGTTATATCAGCAAAAGTATACTTCAAATGCATAGAGGCCCGAAAATAACTGAGAACCACAAATCACTGTTAACATGTATTGCCCAGGTGAGACCTTTCAGCAAACACATGTCATACACATGCTCGTTTTTTTGAGTTACGATGCGCAGAAGAGGAAGATAACACACGTGCAGGCAGTAAGTACGGCCATGCTGGACTCGCTTGGGGCATGCTATGGATAAACAGATGGGTTGGGTCTCTAAATTCAGGGTAATGTCTAACTAATGCCTTCAGTTCCTTCGCGCGGTTGGTTTCGCACACAGAGGCTGCTCTGGCTCCCGGCTCAGCCCTGCTCGGGGGGCGCGGGCCGTGTGTGTCCCCGCTCCCGCACAGAGCAAACCGCGGGCCCCGCGGACTCGCCCCCCCTCGTACCTCGTACCTGGGTTCTTTTCCCTGAACGCCGAACGGTTTTCCATCATAAAACGGAAATAGGCGGTGAGGGGCCGTTCGGGCGCTGATCCGAGCTGATCCCCCGGACAGGCAGCTGCTCCGCCGCGCCAACCGGCCCTGCACACAAACGGCACCGCCGGTCACCGCCACCCCAATGCCGAGGCGGCCCCACGCTCCACGAGGCACCCGCTACCCCGCAGCCCCTGGCTTCCCGCCCCGCACACACTGGAGCTAGAGAGCGCCGCCGCCCCGCTGCGTGACGCAGGCGGCCAGCCAGGCCCCAGGCCCAGCCTCCGCGCCCGGCCTCAGCGCCGCCGCCGCCGCATGCCGGCCCGGCCCTGGCCGCGCCTGCGCGGGACGGCCCGAGGGGCGGGGCCGCGGCCCCACACAAGGTGACCGCGAGCGCGGGGCCGGGCCCGGAGACGGGGCTGGGCCCGGGGCCTGCGGGGAAAAAACTAAAATACAGCCCGGCTAAGCGCTAATTAACTAATTCAGCTGATGAGCTGTGGCCAAAAACCGCACGGTCTCACTGGTTTCCTCTTAACTGCAAGCTTTTGGGTACAGCTGTGTCGAAAAACACACCAGAGCACCAGCCAGTTCTCGGGGGGAAAAGTTACTTTTTTTTTTTTCCCCACAGATGGGAGTAATGTTTCAGCTCCGATTCCCCGCACCCCCCACCCCCTTAAAAGAGCGTTTCTATAAAAAGCATTAACGGAGTTGTGAAGGAGCAGTAGTGATGTTTATCTCCACATTAAACCCAAGGACCTCGCTGAACGAGTGAAGTTCTGAATCATGTATTTATAATTTCATTCCTATAATCTCAAAAGCAGAAAGGCTGAACTGCTACAAGGATCATAACAATCAAAGACTTGTGATGATGCTGTTTTAGAGGTGTAAAGCTAAGACATTCCTTTTTTAATGTCTACATATGCTTACCATGCCTTACCACACGGGTGTTGGGTTTCACATCCTTCTGCTGCTTTCATACTGTGAGGCAAAGTCATTCTCAGAACACATCAGAAATATTACCACTTAAAGTAAAAATGTTTTCAAACCACCCCTAACACAAACTGATAAACCAAAACAAAGTGAGGATCTCAAAACACAAGTCAAACTTCCAATTTTCATACAGTTCAGTACAGGTATTGCAAACATTTAAATAACTTCTAATACAAAGAGCTTACTACTGATCTAGAAAAAATAAAAGCTCTGGGAACACACTGGGATGGTTGAAGCTTTTTACCACTATTTGAGTAAGAAGTGTAAACGATGGCTTTTCCTTCCTAGCTACATTGTCCTGGTTCACATATAATGAAGCACTTTATAACAAAAAAATCCATTTATTCAGTTTGCAAACTGAACAGGGATATTTTAAGATTAATAGAGCCACTCTCGATCAATCTGTTGTTTCAAATATCATTACATCATAGATAAAACTGTAGCACAGAAATTACATTTTCCCATATGTGACCATTTAGGTCAGTAAATTGGCAAACACAAAGATGAATATTCCACTGGTAGGGAAAAAAGCTCCTGCTGTGCACACTTACCACTCATACCCTAAATTCCAATTTAGCATATATTAGAATAATAAAAAAAACCCCAAATCAAATCTATTTCTCATCTTAAAAATATATTTTATGTTGAAAAATTTCCCAACTGGAAGTCAGTTTTCTTTCATGTGCAAGGTACAGAGAAAAACATTTAGTCACCCATTTTTATTTTCGGATAACCAAGAAGAATGTACAGTAGGAAATCAAGAGTTTTTCTGCTTCTAATCTACCTTTTAAAAACAGATTGCCCCTCTCCAGCACTACTGGTTTTCCACATGCATACTCTGAAGCAACTGAAGTGCCAGTTAATGGAAAAGTTACCTTCAAGTGTGAGGAGTTTACTGTAACGTTCTGATATTGCAAATACATCACCTTAACTAAGTGGTTGATGTTGAGACACTTGTGGTTACCTCCTCCATAGATGAATATAGGTGTAAAATGGCCTTAAACTACTTGAAATCCTATATTCAGCAATGGGCAGAGCATGCTAAATCCATTAGGCTAAAGCTAGCATAAAAATTAATTGCAACCCAGTTCTAAGCAGTACATGATGCATAGTTTTATTTGTCCTTCTCTTTATAAGACACATGCCCATATACTATTGGTGATTGTCTAATGTTAGAACAAGTACTTTAAAGATACACGAGTTAAAGTAAAATTAAAAAAACCCCAACACAAGAAAAGTAGTAGAAAATGCATTTTATTTATATGGAAAAGGCTACATTTGGATTTGTAAAAGGTCAAAAGGATAGTGTTACATCAAAAATCAGTTGTGAATAGCAACGAAATGGTTACATATCTCTCTACATAGCAGTGCAATTAGTTCTCATTGCAATAAAATTAAGTATGCAACAGAATCAAAACGAAGTGTTTCTCCATAATCAGCATACAAAGAATTACAGTGCAAAGATCATTTTAGGTTTTAAGAAATCTGCAGTCAATCTTTAGAATATCCTAATGTGTGGGATACTCCAATTAATTTCATTACTAGCAGTTGTATCTTGTCAATACTGTGCACACGCAAGTAAGTCTAAAATGAAATTACTGACATTGTAAATAAAATATTTAGTCTATACAGTAAAAAAATACAAATCATTAAGTGAACTAACAAAAAGAAATTTGAATACACTTATGAAACAACAACATACTTCAATGACAAACATACAGTATTCATCACATAAAACCAGCTACTTTTCCCAGCAAAAATAATTCAGTTGCTTTACAACTGCATTACAGATCTTGTAGTCTGAAGATGCAGGTGTCCAGCTCTTAAAAACCATAATAAATGTCTTCTGCAAAGCATACAAAGAGGATAAATATTCTTATCACAGTCATAAGGTTATTTTTGGAAGTTTATTCTCCCTTGCTCCAGAAACACACTTACATGGGTGAAAAAAAAATTCAAGGGGAGTCATGTTACATCAAAACCATAAATTGTGCTCCATTTCCTTCTAATTTTGAAAAAACCCTAGAATTTACAGTACTCTGTGGTATATGAAAAAGTCTTCACAAGTTTACATTGCATATTTCTGAGTCCATTCTCTTGCATGTCTGTTGTATCTGTATGTGCAGAAAGAAGGCATGACATGAAGAGCTGTTAGTGATACATTGACAATGGCCACCTATTTACTTAATACAGGTGTTATTGAGCTTTTCACCTCTGAGCACTGAGTCAAAGAAGTTAAAATAGTCTAAAAGCCAAAAAAAAATATACCCACTGTATGTTCAGTTTCTGAGGTTACCTATTGCAGCTATTCAGACTCAGAACCAATCTCACAGGTTTGCATTAAAATGCATATCATTGTGCCTACTTAATTTGCATTTCACAACCGGTTCCCTTATTTGTACCTTAACAGGAAATTGTTGTTAATTATTCCTAAATGCAAATGTTATTAACAGTCTGACAAAGTTCACGCATTTTAGTTGCATAAAATTCAGTATAATCAACTGGAGTTTTATTCTCCTTTCTGCCCTGCCATCATCATTTCAGAACTTGAAAGGAAAATTTTCTGAAAAGCATTTTTTACTAGATTTTAAGTCTTTTCCTTCTGGTATGAGGCTGCTTAGCAATCCCAAAGATAAACGACCTTAGAGAGTTCACAACTTCCCCTCTGATCTTTCTGTTTGCTACATTCTGCTTTCCAGACTAGATTCACTTTCTCCTGGGTCATCCAGAGAAAAATGCTGACAAAATTTTAAATCTGTTTCTTAAGATCAGTATAACAACTCATGAACTAAAAGGTTTTCTTCTTAAGAATATGCTACCATACAAGTCTTAGGATCTTTACTTATACTGAAATATTCATAGATAAATGCTATGGGGTAACCAGCCATATAATTAATTTCCTAAATTCAAGATGAGATAAAAGTAATTTAAGAGGTGATCAGCTATAGTCAAGACTACACATTGTCTCACTTTCTCTAGCAACGATTAAATTTCGAGTTTTGGAGAGAAAACACCTTCACAAACAGGAGGCACAATAGCTGAAATCACTAGTAAGTAGGTAGGTAGACAAAAGTTGAGACTCAAATGGGGAGAAGCTGATGCATAACATCCTCAATTTTAACACTGCCTGCTTTGCAGAACAAGCTACAGAGTTCAAGTGGTCCAAAAGTGAGTTACATGATTTGACTGTGACAGACAGTGAACTGTCAGAAAGAGGCCATTTTAATAATTCTTACTCTAGGGAGAGAAATACTAGACCACAGACTTCCATGTAACTTCTACATCACTCTTTTTTTATCCACTGCTCAAGGTGAAAACAATACTCAGATCTTCCTGAACCTGTGACATGTGATGAGCCACAGGACACTAGCATAACACTGCAAGAAGTCTTCATGGCTCAGTACTGAAGACAATACAAAAAATAGGTACCAAAAAACTCAGCTAACCAAAAAGTCAAAAATTCTTCTGTACAGGTTTTACAAACAGAGGATTGCAGTAGCAAGAAACAACTCATGTTTGGGAAATGTTTTTTCATGCAGTGAATACAAGATGACACACAGAAGTGTGATGGTTTTATGTAACTAAGTACAAAAAATTAGGTACCCAGCAACACCTATGTAGGCATACACAATACCTACAGGTTTTCTACTTGCCATAGCTATTTTCAAGATTTGAAAATCTAATCCTAATCCTGTAGAAATCTATGAAGAACGTATTGCTAAAGTTAAGATAGAAGGCGCTTAGCAGGTAACCATCTGCAAGTACCACATTCACAATTATATATACATTATACTCACTTTTCCTTGTCTGACTTGTAGATCTGTGCAATATCTGGTACTAAAGGATCATCTGGATTAGGATCACAAAGTAAGGAGCATATGGACAATAAAACTAAATAAAAGAGACACTAGATTAAACAAGTTAGTTTGCTTTATTCCTATAATACATTAATATATTCCAGCACACTGAAGGAAAGTGGTGGAAGATTGGAAAAAGAATGCATATTAGTATTAAGCTGTCATACAGCAATTCTGTTCAGAAATGTTTATACAGCATCATTTTTTTTATGGCCTAAGTAAACAACACCTGATACTAGCCTAGAGAATTTGCAACCCATGGACTTGCACCTTTTGTAATGATCTCTCTCCCACATTTTAACCTAGGAACATTAAACAAACTACAGACCACACAGTCACATATAAATATTTGCTCTAACTAAGCATTTCACCTGCAATTATTTAATATAACTAATACTGTTAATATTACATTGTCATGCAGTACTCTATACGTGCACACGCTTCTCCACTCCTGTGCTGACAGTTGTTCTCTCAATCATATGAATACTTTACTTAAGCATGACTTCCATTTTGAAAAAATGCTTAATCAGCATTATATGCAGGTATTCACTTACAATTCATATTCACTTCCTGGTATTGAACCAAGGATGTTTGATGTTTTTCAGGAAATTTCTATTTTTATACTCAGAACTAAAAGCATACAAGAGTACCCAGTTAAACCATTCTAAATGTGTTGTGAAAGGGAACTTAATGCTACCATAAGAACCTGCTGTAGAATATCTTTTTCCCCCCCCTGCTTTGTCTTGTTACCCAAGAGCCCACACCTATTTTCAGCAGTAGCAAGTTTGGCCACTTCAATACTGACATATTTATTAAGTGCCAGTAATATTAGAAAATCGGGTTAGAATACACAGTCACACCAATCAGAGGTGCTATCAGTATGTTTTAAACCTTTCATTCAGTAAAACAAGGACTAGAAAGGAGAAACTTCCATGAGTCCCTGAAATTTTCAGTTTATAAAATATTAATTTTCAGTTAATAAAATATATAACATGGAAGCAGGTTAAAGGCACGTCACATCAGAACATGAGACCAGCAGACTGCTCTGCTTTATAAGCGAAAGAAGTGCCCAACAAGATAGAAAGGTGCTGAAGATCTAAAACCTGAGAGTTTTCAGTTGTACATGCCAAGTGTTAAACCTGAATGCCAACTTTCATTTGCTAAATAATTAGAAACAAGAAAATTTTTGCGTATCTACAAACCAACTAACTTCTGTGAAAAGCTGATACCGAGGACACACAAGAGTAACTCAGCAAGACACAAGAGTAATTGAGCAATGACTTCAGGAAACAGTGTTAGACTTGGATTTTATACAGCTTGTCAGATTACTGCACCAGGCTGTGTGCATGAGAAGTTGCTTTTCCAAGAAGGGATGGCAACTGGACTTGCACAGACCAATTTCCATTGGATAAAGACTAACTTTTTTTTTTTCTTTGCTTGTACACCCAATGTAATGACACTGTTCTAAAAAAAGACAGGGTTTGGAGAGCTCCCAAGCACAGAACAAGATGTGATACTGTTTAACCTTTTGAGTCACATGGGAAATTCTGTAATGACTTAAGTGTGCCTTAGCATTTTGAAGGTGGGTGACAAAAAACAACAGCAGCCACATTTTAAGCAGCTTTTGAAGTGACACAAAATGCCTGCAACAAAAGAACTGCTTAACTATTAATTCAATGTTCCAGAAATCTACAGTGTTTAACTAGAGAAAGTTTAACTACAGGACAAGAATATTTTAATAAATATTTTACTGATGACTTTGAAAGGAGCTACATTTTAAAATATTCACCTTACGGAGGAACGCAAACCAGAACAATTTATCTCATTTTAAAATAAAGTGTAATTAAGACCTTAGCCCACACAAGGGTGCTCAGGCCACCCAAAGAGTCATCCCAGGCAATCACCTAAGCCCACACTTGTCACTATCAGGGTTTTCCATTTACATCCAAAATCATTTGACTTTGAAGCCCTGCTCACCAGTTCCTCCTCAGTTCTGTGTGACTGTCAGCTATAATACAGAAGTTGCATTTCAGGCTGATTGGACATTTATTACCTTACTCAACTTGTTTTAGAACATTTCTTTGCCATGCACATGTTTTTCTGTAATGTGACACTCCCAACAAGCTGTTCAAGATCTGGGATCATAAAAAGAATTCCAATGGAATTTGCCCTTTCTGAAATGTGCAGGATAAACGAGTCCCCACTGCCACCTTTAAGACAGTGCAGTAATACAAGAAAAAAATGCCATGGCAATTTCATAAATGCATTATCAAATCAGTGAGCTTACCTTTAGATACAGTCAGAGCTGGTGACCATTGTGATCTCAGGATATCAAGACAAATACTCCCATTACTGTTTATGTTTGGGTGATATATTTTTGTTGTAAAAGCAATCTGTAATAAAAAAAATAAAACCAAACCAACTAACATAAAATTATGTTTATTACATTTGGAATCCTTAACATCATCCCTCCCTTTCCAGTCATACTAGATCTGCCAAGACAACTTTTTTACACTCTTATCTGTCATCCACAATGAACATGTGGATTGCTCACCTTTCTGGTTTTAACTTCCAAAATTAAGCCTCAAAGAACTAAGACACAGAAACAAAGTTTTGATCAAAAAAACTGTGATAAGTTCAAAGAAAGGACTTACTTTTGGTGGTTTGAAAGGATAGTCTGTTGGAAAGTGTACTGTGAGAAAAAATACACCCCCTTGATATGCACTATCAGGCTGGGGAAAAAAACAAAACAAATAAAACACATTAACATATTTCAGCCATTTTAGAGCTTCCCTTTTCAATGCAGATAACCTTCCAGAGCAAATCTGGTTTCTCCCCAGTACACAGCCCACTGTGGGCCGTATCCTGGGAAGGCACTGAGGGAATGGAACCCTCCCACTGGCCTGCAGAGCTAAAGTAGAGCCAGTCGTGGCTACTACTGCAGAGGCACAACACAGCTCCTGAGCCCTGCCCTGCTGGGCAGAGAAAAGGAGGGAGCAGTGTTCCACTGGGGAAGCTACAAATCTGCAGAGCAATAGCTTCACTGCACTGAGGGGAACACAAAAACCACAGCAAGTCCTCCAAATCCTGTCGCTGTGCAAGAACCACAGCTGCTCCGATCCTCCTCCAGCCTTAAGCTACAAATATACTTACCTTAAGAAGTGGTTTCTCTTTGCAGAGGCAAAGAGTAGGATTTTCCAACATAATTCAGTTCATCATGATGACATCGGGGAGTTTTAAAACACACAACATCTTTGTGACCTGTACAAATCTGTGAACATGCATTTTGTTAGAAAACATGTGCACAGGTTTCCGTCCAGGTTGCACAGAGCTAATACAATTAACTCAGTTGTAGTCATCTGGTGAAGAACTCTCATTTTTATTAACAAAAAAGAAAAAAAAAAGAGTGGAAAAGTCTTGATGCTGAATGATAGAGAGCAGTTCTGCCATTTCTGATTAAGGGAAAGAAGAAAACCACTCTCATTACATGGTAAGTTTAAAACAGCAACATAGGAAGTCAGTCTCAGGAAAGCTGCAGGAAGATTGAGGTTTGGGGTTCTCTTATGGAAACAAAGGCAGACTGTTTCTAAAAATCTTTACCTTGGAAATTAATGGTTTTAGAGATGACTATATGACTATAAGAGGTAGAGCCACAAATGGTCCACTAAGACATGTTTTCTTACACCTTAAAGTGCAGACAGTGTTGCAGTGTAAGGCAGGTTATATATAGTCATACTAAGTCAGCATTAGGTAACATCAGAAGAGGTTGCCACAGTAATTCCAATTAGGTTTGAAAGGACTGCTTGCTTGAATACTAAATGGATTTTTCAAAGTTAAAATAAGCTGAAGATGAGACAAGTTCAGTGTCAGAGAGGAGGCAAAGCGAAGTCACACTGTTTTATGAGCAAGGTATATACAACAAATTGATGACATCCATAGGCAGAAGAGGTTACCCTACTTCCACACAGAGGAAACGAATTCTGAAGGTAAGCTTTAGTCCTATGTTTCCATCAGGAAACATAGAGGATGCACATCCCTAATTTCCTTTTGTTATCACAATAAAGGATTAATATCTTGAGATATTCTCTTCCTGTATCTCTGCAGACAGGGCTGAGAAAGGTTGGCAAGAGATGCTCATTCTTATCCTTAACTAGAGACATCTGAGTAACCTGAAGCAAAGAAAAGAATACTTTCCACTACAGAATAGGAAAGGTAAACTGCAAGCTGGAGAAGAAAATAGAATTTAAGCCAAAATTTATGTTGCCCTCACTCATGTCATCAGAGTTATTCAGGACAGAGACACTACTGATGGCAATCAGCACATAAGCTTTATTAACTCTTCTTTGCTGCTTTGCTGTTGACCCTTTATCTCAGTGCAAAATGGATTTTATATGTGAAAGAACAAGATTGTTCAAGAAAAATAGCAAAAGCATTAGTATAGTGCAGAAAAACAGTTGCTGCTGGGCCACTGACAAGTTGGACAACAGATTCCAGCACACCACTGGCAAATTAGTGACTGATCTTTCACTGCTTCAGAACAGCTGTGCTGAAAATGAAGAAATAGTCTTAAAGGAGACACAATTCAACTTTTCTACAGCATGCAATGCTGCATCTTAATGGATTAAGTATTATCTCAAAATTTCACCTCGCACAGCAACTCAGCTCAGCATCTGAAGCAGAGACATGTCTTTCCAAATGAGTAAGTCCAAAAGGAAAACACTAGGAATACAAATTCCTTACCAGGATATTGAGAAACACACCTTCCGTCCGATCACGTTGTTCTTTATTCTTTTTTTGCTAAAATTCTTTTCAATTTTCCTTTAAAACTTTCTGGGTTTAAGTTTTATTGTCCTTTCTTATGTCATTTCCTTGACAAGGGTCATAATTAGGGTCTTTACAGAGCTCCCTCAACCCAAGGAAAGCACCTTTCTCTCACAGAAACCAGCAAAAGCACCCACGACTGCTGGCCTGTAATTTGCAGAAGTCATCTGCTTTTGCCAGAGCCACATCACAGCCAATAATTAAAATAAGCTCTATCTAAAAGCCCCAAAATCACCCTGTGCAACTCCACTCCTGGAGTTACCAACTTTAATATTGGATTTCACCTACTCTTTGTCCTTTCAGATGGATGAATCTCCCAGAATTGATCTGATCACCTTTGAAAAGCCAGCTCTTTGCTTTGTAGGCCCCCCTACCAAATCCACCACCACAGCACGGATTTCTGAAGGTACAGAAAGCAACTAGTACCAGACTACCACGAACAGCATCACCCTAAATCTTCAATCTATACACAGCACTGCTGAATGTGACTGCTAGATTTATAGAAACCCAAATGAATTCTTCCACAACAAAAAGAGAAGCAAGGTCTTACATTCTAAGGGGCACAAATTATATACTTACAGGACCCATAATAGTTGCTTGCCAATGAAACACTGAAAGTAAAAAAAGATAAAAAATTAGAGATTTTTCCAAGCTTTTTCATAACTGAAAAAAAAGGTAAAAATCTGACTATGTGCTATGAAAAGCTTACAGTCATCTCCAACAGGTCCAGCAGAACAGTGGGCCGGTGGGTCTCGCTGCAGGTCACTCAGTTCCTGTAAGAAACACAAAAATTTGAAAGATACCTGTGTGAAAATACACACACCTGGCAGCATCCCTTCAAAAGTAAGAACACAAACCCATTTTATTGAACCTGTGAGGTTTTTCTCGTGGCATTTTGATAAAACAATCAACACTTGAAATGCACATTAGGACTGAAAAAGTTCTTTTGCCAGATGGTCTGCAGCTAATACTATGCTAGAAATTAATATCTGAAAGCATTCAAGAGTTGCAACCAGGTTCATAGTAAGGAGGATATTCTTAAGTAGACAGAAAAAAAAGAAAAGGATTTCTTAATTTGTCTGTAAATTCACTGTTTAATTTAGAGTTATGTGCTAATCTGATTATTCCTTTATCTTTTGATTTTACAAAAGTTTCTGCATTGGCCTAGTCTATGTACATTAGCTAAACCTGCCTGGAGATTATAACATAAAGGTCCTAACTAAACTAGAAACTAAAGGGAAAATATTAGTTCTTACAGCTTTTTTATTATACCTTGATTTAATTCCCTGAATGCCTTTTTTTTTTTAAATGACTACTAAATCACTCCAAAAGGAATTGGAAACTTAAGCACTCACAGAAGCTTTTGTGGGCCAACTGATTTATTTTTCTAGCAGGAGTCCACACAATGGACTAAATTATTAGTGAACTAATAATTTAAAATTATTATTTGATTACACAAAACCAGCTCAGTTTTTCATCTATCATTGCTATTATCAAACAGAAAACAAGCCATGCATTAATGTTAGTTCATTTTCCTTGTTTAATTCAATATACTACGTTTGATGTCTGAACTTTTACTGTACTAAGGATGAACAACTTTTTCCAATTCTAGGCTGACAGGAATTGTGCTGGGGTAAGTTAATGACTACGTGTAAATACTTCCTTTGAAATAAGTTAAAAGATAAGTGCTAAATCAGTGTTTGTAAGTAATTCAATTCATTACTCAAAACATATGCATTTAAGTCAACAGTGGACATAAGCAGACCTGCAAATACCTCGAATTTACTTTAAAGAGTAACAATTCCTACTCAAAAAAACATTAGTCAAGGCAACTATTAGTCAAGGCAACAAAATCAAGGTTTAAATTGAAACTACGTTTAACTCAAGTGTAGAATTTGTGTATTTAGTGCGATCGGACCTTAAAAATAATTTGAGGCATTAAAAATCTGCACTTCTCAACTTCTGTGATATATTTTTACATTTATGACAGCTGGTAAATATTTTAACTCAGTCTGCCATGCATCTGGCACCTAAATTCAGCCAGACTTCACAAGTCCACTCTTGGCCATGAATTCAAAGAAAGGCACTGCACCATATCTTACTACATCTCTGCAGTCACTTCTCAAAATGTTTGTGATTTAAAACAAGAGAGACACTTCTTTCATGTACTGAAATAGCTCAAGTTGCCAACTAGCATTACTTGTCTGCACTTTAACTTTATTCTCTTGGTGAAACTGTATGTTGGTCCAGAAACAACACTAGACTTTAACTAATAAAGGCAATAGAAAAATGTGCAGTTCCTGTTCTAATCAGAGGATTCAGATTTTGTTGAGGAGTGATCCAGAGCACCAGCCATCTGTGCAAAGCCAAGCCACTGCCAGTGCACACAGGGAGTCAACCAGTGTCAAGTTTCCAGCAGTCACCAGTCCTCACAAACACGACCAGCAGCAGTGCTGTTACAGCCACTGTCTTCTCTAATTTGCAACTCAAGATATAACCTAACAAGAGAAGATGAAGTCTTGCATACACACTAAAAAAAAAAAGGTTAAAAATAATAATAATAATTAAAAAAAAAATCAAACAGCTACACGAAACTGTCTGCCAAAACAGAGAACTCAGACTGAAAACCATGCATTTTATAATGGTCATTGTTGATTACTAGATTCAAGGCAACGATGGGGAAAAATACGTAGCTTAAACTCATCACAAAGCCTCTAAAGTATATGCAAACATTCTCTATACAGATGCAAACATCCAGGCAAGCACTTTAAATTTAGAGTCCCAAGTCTGTAACAGCACTCTCATTTGCTAGATGTTCTCCTTGAGATCTTTACATACCCCAAAACCCACACAAATTGGTTTTCTTTCAGATATACATGTGTACTTCAGAACTGGCAGAACTGGGGAAGGCTTCTCTGGTATACACTTTCAATTTGCTCAGGCTAAAGGCCTGATTTTGTTCATGATAAAAAACCCCCATCTTTAATCATACCTTGATGAGACCCAGAACTATCAACTCCTGTTATTAACATTTCCTAATAACAATGAAGAAAAGCCTCTCTTCAACCAACTTCACTAAATGAGAGCAATGTTCACAAACACATTCAGAGACCTTTTGCAGCTAGGAAGCAAAGCCAGAGCAAACTTCAAAACCTTCATAGTGAAAATTCAAGCCTTATTTTGCAACCATATGAAATTACATACTGAAGCTAACGTGGTTTAAAAATATAAGTGGTAATATGATCAAATTTGCAAATTGAAATGGACCGTATGAACAGTTTGAATCCTTACATTCAGAAATTCCAGATCAAGCTGTGATAAAAAAATAACTATTCAGCTTTACATTGTAAATAATGCTGTTTAAGCTTCAGAATCAAATCAAAATTATCTAAGATTTAGCCTTTGAGCTTCCCTACACCTTTTGAAATGATGTAAGGAGATAGAATGCCCCTGAACCAAACTGACTTGCCAGAATTGAACACTGCAGAACAAGTGTGAGGAGTCTCTGAAGTAGATGTAAAAAACTGCTTCACGACTTCACATACTCACAAAAGAATTATTTGTACAGGGAATTCTTGTATTCAATGTCTCAAAAATGCTCTTCACGAGAACACCAAAACTTTGCTTTGTCAAAGGACAAGGCTGAAGATTTACAAAGCTTCATGTGCTGAAACCTCACCAAGGAGGGCAAGAGAACTGCATGTGAGGCACTACACAGTCAACACTAGAGATTCCCCTGTGATTTTAAGTTAATTGCTTAGAGCAGCTTTGTCCATACTTTATGGATTATCATCATGTAGCTCCATGATGCAGGTCTTGTTGCTTCAAGGCCTGGTCTACATGAATATTTTTAGTCACTAGTATAGAAAATGCTGGTGCAAGACTTTGATGTACACATGCTAACAAAGGGGATCTATAGCTCAAAGATTCACTTTCAGAAGAGAAAGTCACCACTATAAATTACAGTGTACACTGGTGCAACATGTTTTGTCAGAATACACAAACCCTAAGTTCTGCCTGCAGGAGGTGCATCAGAAGTATCAGTTATTTTAAACACTGGTGAGTATCACAGCATAAAAGCATCTGTCAAGAGCTCCAACACAGGCTACACTGTCCCAGAACAGCCAGGATAAGCTATACAGAGAAAAACAGCTAAGCTGGGAACTTGAAGGAATAAGTCTTCTGATCCTCTCAAACATACAAAATAATACACGGTAGAATAGAATACTGTTGGCTAGAATACTCCTGGAGATGGACACAGCAAAGCTTCCAAACTACCACCTTTCCTTGCACCACACACACTCCAAAACACCCCTGTAGCATCATGAGACAAAAGTTTAATATTCATGTTTAATAGCTGTGAAACACAGGCTACAGTACACGATAAATGCTGGAGACATTTCTGACTCTGCAGACCAGTGTTCATGGTCAAAGAATAATACAGGATGTATTTCATAACAGTATAGAGTTGAAGACTGCAAGGGCAATTTAACACTTACATTCTTGATTAGCAGCCAGGCTTCTCTCCCAAAAAGCTGCTAGAACAACATTGTGAAGGATACTTCGATAACAAGGAGATAAAGCTTTTCCACATAGTACTCAGGGATACTCAGTGACTATGAGCATGAGTAGTAAGAACAGCAAAAAAATCCCTAAAAGTGTCTTTTTTTCCAGTTTAAAATAATCAGAAAAAAGACTGCAGATTATCAGAAGCCCAAAATGAACTGCACACAGCATCACTCCAAGTTGTTTTCATTCTCTAATCAACACAAAACCACAAGCAGAACCTTTTGCCACATCATTATTTAAAATATAGAGGTTTATCTTTGTCAGCTATGTTCTTCATTTCTTGCACAAAATGCACTGTAGAATGCACTGTAGACCACAGACTCATTTCCTACCAACTCCATGCATACACCACTGCTTGGAACCATTTGTTCCACAAAAAGTTCCACAGTGGTCATACTTAAGACTACTTTAAGAATTCTCTGCTCTTTATAAATTTGGTAACTGTAGAGCACATATTTATCAGAGCATTTATTGATATAATTGTTAGTCAGTAATAAAGTATGTATTCTATTTCCATACATGGTTTTAATGCAAAAAAAAAAAATTGCTGTGATATCACAGCTGATATTTTGAAAGCAAATTAAAACACGTTATGTTACAGCCAAAAAAACCTGTCTCAGTATGTTTATTACCATCTAAAGACAGCATGTTTAAAATAAAAATCTAAACCACAAATATCAATAAATTTTGAGTCAATTTACAATAGCAAAAGTTATTTGCAACATAAATTTTAAAGTCTCTATGTCCTGTTAGCCTACACATCTACGAAACACACATTGAAGCAGATACATATAACTAAATGTTTGAGTGCTTCTGTTCTTACTGAGTTGTGGCAGAAAAACAATCAAGCAGTATGTACCAATAAGATAAAACAACAGCTATTTTTAAACCAGTCTTCGAATCTATGGTTTCTAACAGGTTTCAAAATCTCTTCCAAAATCTCCTTAAGTCCAATTTTTTCATGCCTGTGACAAAAGTACATACGTATTTGTTTTGTAAGTATTGCAAGCCGGCCTGAGCATTAACAAGCACAACATCAACTGCCCATTAACACTGGAACCCCAGAAAAATGGCTCTGCATAAGACAGAGGGGCAGAACAGCCCTACACACTAACTTGCATAACCTGCCAGCCTGAATTATTTTCCACCTCACACAAAAGCCACGGCGTCTCAACTTCCAGAGGTGGGAAGAATACAGGCTTCT